TTTTTCCTCTTCCTATTTTATTATTAATTTCTAATTATAATTATTCTTATGCCGAATCTTTTTCTTCTTAATCTTCTTCTCCTGTTTTCCATCCATTATTTTCAAATTTGGTTTCTTAGTGACGCTATATTCGCACAAAATGGCGCTCCGGACTGGGTTTGGCAGCAAAAAAGAGCACTACATTGTCCGAAAACTAAGGTTCCCAATTGCTTTTTTCTAATCACTGCTAGGCGGTAAAATCCAAAGAGGGTACAGAATCGATTAATAATGTCAAGGATTCGCTTTCTGACTTAATATATCATTTTTCCCTCTCTTTGTCTTTAACTCACTATTTTTAAAACACTCACAACCATTTCTATGGTGACATCTCTTGTATTTGATCAATGTCATTCATGACTTTCTCCTTTTCTGTTGTCTTCCTTGTGAATTGGCAGAACCGGCGGAGGAGCTACACGTCATTGTGTCGTTTTCGATAGCTCGCTAGCTCTACAGTCGACCCAGATCTGGGAAGGTCGAACACGAGGTTGTCGTGGAATTCGCCTCCCAGACTTGGTCGGGAAACGAGGCGGGGTTGAAGGATGCAGCTGAAGACAACCACTTCAGTAGCTGTCAGCTGTTCGGTGGCGGCCAACTCGAGCACCAATAGGTCCGAGATCTTTGACGACACAACAAAAGAAGCCAACATGGCGACGAAAAAAGTGACCGTTTCCTCAGACAAGCAGGACTCGTCTAATGAGGGTGACCTGTCAGGGACGACGAAGGGATCAGACAAACCGAGGCATCGGGATCGTAAAAGTTTGTCTATAGCGAATCCAAGAATGCGGCCCGTAGATCCCAGCGAAGGACTCACAAGAGTTCGAGACGAAGACGAACTGGGACAGTACATGGTGAAGCGAGAAATAAGTCAGGTCATTGCACGAAAATCGTCAAATAACTGCAACAAAAATAGCAAATTTGTATGAGCTAGAATATGGGCAAATAGCAAAAGATGGAAATGTCAAGAAGTATAGTTATAATCACAGCTAATAAAGCTATCAGAAAAAATTGAAATCGTATGAGATAAAAAAGAATGGATCTATTAAAATGAGTAGGAATAAGATTAGAACTGATAAAATGAGAAGAGTTGAGATGAGATGAGATGAGATAAGATGAGCTTAAATTTGATGAGATTAGATGACTATCAAATCAGAAGTGTTCTGATAGTAGCAGCTGATTTGAGACGCAATGAGTCAAGATGAGATTATATTAGATGATATAATTAGACATATTTGTATTTCTGATAAGTTTAGGTGGGTTAAGATGAGTTGAGATTGGTTGAGATTAGTTGAGTAGAAATGAGTTGAGATGGGAGGAGATTTGATCAAATGAGATTAGATAAAATTAGATTTGATGAACTCAGATGGTATGCCATGAAATGTAATGTATTAAATTTATATGACCTGAGGTGAGTTGTGATTAAATGAGATTGGAAGAGATTAGTTGAGTTTTGATGAGTTGATTTGAAATCTAACCAGTTGCTTTCACCCTCGCTTTTATATTAAATAATATTAAATTTGTTTAATTATTTTTATTAATCTACTCAGCTGACCTTCGCTATGCTTGGATGTGATTAGATTTAATCCGTTTATATTTTATTTCTGCTCCATTACTTGAGCTTATTTTTTTCATTTTTCTGCCTCCTTTTTTGTCACAAACCTTTTGCACCCACCTCTTTTATCCTTTTCTTAGGCCTGTCGACCGTTTTAAATTGCTCATTAAATTGCCAGTTTTACTAGTTTACAATAAAGTCTTAAATCTTAAATCAGATTTCTAATTCGTCTATCTTCTGGATGACCTTTCTATTTGCTCGCATTTGCCTGGCAACTGTTTACCAGCAATTAACTCTCACATAACCTTATTTTCCAAAATTTCTACTTTTCACGCCTGAACGTGACTTGACTTTGGTCTCATCACCATCCTCAGCTGGAATTCACTGCATGTTTTGTTATTTATTCTTACCTCACCATAATTCAGGAAAATCAGGCCTCTTTCATATCACATTTTGTGGTTGGAATGTCGATGGGGCTAACTTTACTTTTCCTTCACAATCGTCTAGAATAATTAAATTGAAATTAATTTGTCTTTTTACACTATTCATAGACCTTAAATATGACCACTTACCTT